CCCCAGCACTGGGGGCCCCCCCAGCGAGGGGCCCCCCCACGGGGGGCCCCCCTCGGGGGGTCCCCCTGGGGGGCCCCCCAGGGCTTCGCAGTCGCTGCTGCTGCGCAGACTGGAGGAGGCCCTGGCAGCAGAAGATGTGGGCCTCCCAAGAGTGGTGGGGGGCCCCCGGGGGCCCCCCCAGGCAATGCGGCTGGCGAGGGGCCTCGGGAGTTTGCTGCTGCATGCAGAGGCGGGGGCCCCTGTGTCTTGTTTGCTGGAAGTGGGGGTGGGGGCCTTTGCCTTTTTGACCCTTTTGAGGGCCCCCGCATCCCCGGGGCCCCTCACAGTTTCCTGGCGAAGGGGCCCCCAGCAGCAGCAGGGGGAGGGGGCCCCCCAGCAGCAAACGAGCAGGCGCAGGGGGGCCCCCAGCGAGGCCCCGGGGGCCCCGGGGGCCCCCGCCAGAGACGGCGCGGTGGGGGGCATCCCAGCAGCAGCAGGGGCCCCCGGGCCCTCCGAGGCCCCCTGCCGGCTGCTGACCCTGGAGGAGTTCCTGGGGGCCCCCCCCCTCTCCTTTGCTGTGCTGCAGTACCATGTTGTGGGGCCCGAAAGGGGGGCCCCCGGCCACCACACAGTTTGGTTCAAAGCCGAGCTGGAGGCCCTCTGGGGTACAGCAGGGGGGCCCCCCTACCCGCCGGGGGGTACAGCAGGGGGGCCCCCCTACCTTATACTTCTTCCCCAGTTGCCAGATGCTGGCTTGGGGCCCTACTTGAGGCTTTCTCTGACCCCTTTGGGGCCCCCAAATCCCCTTTTCTCTTTGGGGGGCCCCCCGGGGGGCCCTCACGCGGCCAGCGGGGACCCGGAGGGCCCCAAGGAGGCCCCTGGGATGGGGGGCCCCCCGGGGGAGGCCCCAGGGGAGGCCCCTGCAGCAGCTGCCCCAGGGGGGCCCCCAGAGGGGCCCCCTGGGGGGCCCCCCAGCCCGAACTTGGGAGGCTCTGACCTCTTCTCTCTCCCGTTGCTGCCTTTCCTCAAGGTGCCCCTCGCAACGAGTCCCAAGCCCCAGCAGCAGCAGCAGCAGCAGCAGCAGTATTACGTGGGGCGGTACCTGCTGCTGCTGGAGGCTGCCCTCCCAACTCCCTCGCGGGCAGTGCACTGTACCCTTTCGGTTGCCCTGCCGCCGCCGGGGCCCACAGAGGCCCCGGTGGGGGCCCCCCTGGGGGCCCCCCTAGGGGCCCCCTTGGGGGCCCCCCTGGGGGCCCCCGAGGGGCCCCTGGCGCCTGAAGGCCCCAGCAAGGAGACAGGGGGGGGACCCCCGGGGCCCCCCGGGGGCCCCCTGCAGCTGCCCGTGTCCCCCCAGAGGCCCCTTTGTGTGCGGCCGCTGCCCCTCAGCTTCAAAGCAGTGTGGCGGGGGGCCCCCTTGGGGGGCCCCTGGGGGCCCCCCGAGCTGGGGGACTTGTGTAGGGGCCCCCACGGGCCCGGCATTTTAATGTGCAACCAAAGATTGCTGGTGAGGGGCCCTCAGCCCGCGCGGCTGACTCTATGTCTCACAGTGGAGGGGGGCCCCCCGGGGGCCCTCTTGTGCTGCAGTCTGCTGCAGCAAGTGGTCAGGAGGCCCCCCGAGGCCCGCGGGGAGGGGCCCCCTGCTGGGTCTGGCCGCCCTTCAGCCCTCGAGCCGCAGCAGGGCGACGGCCACGCAGCAGCAGCAGCAGCAGCAGCAGCAGCAGTGTCGAGGCCCTCCTCAGCTGTCCTGAAGGCACATGGCCCCAAAAAGGGGGCCCCCGAAGCAGAAGAACCCCCCAAGGTAGACGTGGGGCCCCCCCAGAAGCCCGAGGAGCTGCTGCTGCTGCAGCAGCAGGGGCCCCGCTGCTGCGTCTTTGCTGACATCCATTTGTACCCAGGGGCCCCTTACCTCCTCAGGGCCCACTACTACGGCCCAGAGGCGTCCCCACAGAAGCAGCCCATAGCCAGCAGCAGCAGCAGCAGCAGCAACAACAACAACAACAACAACAGCAGCAGCAGCAGCAGCAGCAAGCTGGGCTGGCTGCTGGAAGCAATCGGCAGCGGGGACTTGAGCGTGGGCCCCGACACAACTCGAGAAGAATTAGCAGCAGCTTGGAAAGACCCCACAGACAGCTCTAGGGGCCCCCGGGGGGCCTCCAGCAGGGCTTTGTACCTCAGGGGGCCCCCAGGGTACCTCTTGAGGGGGCCCCTGCTGGGGGGACCCCACTCCAGCTGCGCAGACGCGCAGGGGGCCCCCAGCCCCCTGACGCTGCAGCAGCTGCAGCAGTTAATTTACTGGAAACTAAATATGACCCTTTTGGAGTTCTTGCAGGCCCTGCAGGGAGAGGCCCGGCAGGGGCCCCCCTCTCTGGGGCCCCTCTCGGGGGGCCCCCCCCTTGGGGGCCACCCTGCTGGAGGCCCCCGCTTTGGGGCCCCCCAAGGGGGCTACCTCCAGCTTGGGGGGCCCCCCTTGGTGCCCGAGGGCCCCCAGGGGCTCCTCTGTGGGGCCTCTTTAGAAGCAGGAGGGGCCCCCTTTGAACTTTCGCAGCAAACCTTTTGCTGCAGCAAACTGCTCAGGGGGGGCCCCCTGGGGCCCTACGTGGGGGGGCCCGAGGCGCTGGAGCGTCTGTACAGCGAAAGTGTGGGGCCCGCGCTGGCAGCAGCAGCAGCAGCAGCAGCAGCAGCGGGGGGGGGGGGGGGGGGCGGG